TTATTATAGTTGAACGATGGTAGCGCCCCCCTGTCATTGAGTTTGGTGGGACAGTTCAGCGTGGGTCATCTATATAAGTTATTTTACTCATTCTGCGTTCGTTTCAGTCAAATAACGTCCACTGCTGGACAAAGGCCAACATGGAAATCCTTGACGGATGTCTTTGTCTTTCAGAATAAATTGACAGAATTAAAATATAGAAATAAACTTTGTAAGTTTGTTAACTTAATCATTGGAAATATTGAACCGATTTTGATAGTTCTTTTGCCATCAGGTGGAGAGCTGCATTATTTTTAAAGCTTAGGCATTTTTTAATAGACCAAAATAATTCAACTACCGCGAAACCACGGGCAAAAACTTGTGAGATGAATATCACACATCTGCCTTAAAGTTCACCGAAGTTCTTGCCCTTTTAAAAAAAAATAAACTATTAAATGTATTCTGTGCTATATAATACCCACAAATCTTTGGACCACAACAACAAAGCTCTCAAAGACTGTTCGAAGAAATTTGCCCGGTCTACATTTTTGGGGGATAAAGACAGAATGCGTTTACTCTGGCTTCGGTGAACATTTAGCGCCACAAAAGCGAGGTACAACACATTGTGTGAGAAAATAATTGTATTGAATTCACTCGGGCATTGTTCAATTTAAAATAATTATGTAAGTTTAAAGTATATACCAGTAACGTATGGAGTCCACGAGTTGCCAAAATTAAATACGAAATGGCGGTGATTAATTATTTTACAGAGTAATTATTGTAAATTATAATTTGCTATTAACATAATCATTGGCTTTTCAATGTTAATATTTATAAGTAATTATGTATAATATTTATTATATTATAAAAAAAAAGATGGAATATTCCTTATTGAAATGAATCTATTTCAAAACCTTTCATAATCACTTTTTATCAGGTGAGGCCAAGAACTTCCTCGTTGTGGATTAAAAAAATCATGATTTGAAAGATGAATAGAAGTAAAAAAAAACACATAGGTATCTACTTAATATAACCTTCTTGACTTTCCACAAGATTACTAATGTAGATGATGAAAATAAATGTGTCTGTGCATAAGTTTTGATGAAGAAACTAAAGTTCCTTTTAGTTTTTCCTTTACCGCACTTCAGCATTCAAAGTTTACGGACTCAAAACTGCACCCGCAAACTAACTGAAGTCGCAGATTCAAAGAATTACTTCGAACGTTCCTACAAAATATAACTTACTTTTAATATTAAAGCAAGACGTTACATTAAAGTAATATTTTCAGTCAATAGTCTGGGCTAGCTTCTTGAATACACTGTACAGCCACAAACTAAGTAAATGTTTTGAAAAGCCAACGGTTGGGGTAACTTTAATCATAGACTATTAAGTAGCTCATTATACAAGTAGGTTCCCAAAAATCTGCCCATATTTTCTTTCATCTTATTTTTTGTAAACCAAAGTAATTAAAGCGAAACGATACAGCTGACTTTATAGTGCCACTTTACACTACAAAAAAGAAGAAAAGCACTCTCCTGACGTTATATTATTTGTTTAAACAGCCAAAAGGACGACTGTGGTCATAGAATAACTTTTTTTATTATGAAAAAACAACGGACATCGCCTCGAACGTGCCTCTAATAGGCCATAACATGCCATTATGTGCTGCTTTTAAAACAAATTCTGGGGTAAAACTTCAATTACGTGGGATAATACAAAGAGAGAACATGACGTTTTTGTGTTCTTAATCCGAACAGTAAATAGTATGTAAACGCTGATGCTCCCACCTGGATTTCCATGAATAATAAATTACTGTTATGAATATTTACACAGTACGTATTACAAATATAATTTGGAATATAATACAGTTGACACACTCCATGCAGTACCCATTTTAAACTAGATTTAAACCCAGGTAAGGTAAGTGAACGCTACCTACCAAAAACATTAATTTATTATCGCGCAAAGTGAAAGTGTAAGGCTGAGTTGCACCACCTAACTTTGACCGTAACTATAACGATAACCGGTTTTTTGTATGAAATTTGACAGCTTTTTGACGTTTGTCAAAGTTAAAGCAAGATGGTGCAACCCAGCCTAAGCAGTGAAACTCTGGCACAATGGACCCCACTCAGCATAATTTGTCTTGACCCACGGTGTCGAATTCCGCGACGTTGGCTCCAATACTTCCAATATTCGATACTAACTTCTTATCACACATTTCTTGTAGCAAGCTCTTATAATACAATTTGTCCATGTTATTTTCTTTAATATCACAACTACAGGAAGGTCGTTATCGTGTATTCCACGCGCGTACGTGATAAGAAATAGAGAAGGAGTAGTTTCCTGTTCAATTTACTTTGAGCATTTTATAGGCGGCGTGTTTTTCTTAGACCTTTTCACATGCTTGCTAGGGTGGGTCTACATTGTGGATTGCATAAGGTAAAGCCCTTCAGACGAATCCGTTGTATGCAGTTAGTAGTGGTGGGATCAGTAACCGCATGTCAGGAAACCTGTAACAACAATAATATTCTTGTTCTAGGTCAGGTTTTTACTCGAGCTAGTCCTACTATTCTTAAATACTTTTCAGCGATTAATAAGTAAGCTCTAGTATACGGAAAGCGCAGCCACAACATGGACCGACGATCTCATAAAAGAAGCAGGAGGGCGCTGGATGCAGGCCGCTACTAACAGGTCATTAAGGAAATCATTGGGGGAGGCCTATGTTCAGCAGTGGACGTCCTGTGGCTGAAATGATGATGAACCCCTTTCATGTGAAAAGTTTCCTAACGTTGAGATTAAGATAAATTTATTAACCATACATAACAAATACACGCTCTTGTATCATAAATCAGACAAAAAGTATGTTAATACAATAATAACTTTGGGCAACAATAACCCAACGGTGTCATTGTCGGACTGGCCGACTTGAGATCCGAGGAACGCTAGTTTGAACCCCACTGGGGTTATTATATTATTATGATAAAAAGACTATCTAGATATTAATCTTTCTATCTAGTTTAGTAATTTCTGGCTTCTATAGCCTCTTGATATCTCCCCGAACATCTGAAGCCAAACTAGAATTCACGCACTACGCAAATCTCTCGTTTCAATGTCAAAACCACTATACGATTTCTTTACCAGACTTAACCTGGGAATTGGTTTAATCTGAGACGAGATTGTATTACGAGATGAATTATGTAATTCGCAAAAAGTCGCATACATCACATTTATTAATGTGGACACCGCCTGACTCACATACATACTTAATATTACACGTCATACTCTGTAAGCGTTACCTATTTTCTGGGCCCAATAAATAAAAGCGTCTTTTTGTGGTTTATACGGCAGAGGTTGGGTTACTCCCAACTAGCGCCGCCAATATAATTTTATCGGGTGAGTGGAAATTCGCTGAGTAGAAACCAACGTGACCTTGTCCTAATATTTCGCTTTATTGGATTATCCTTTTTATCTTAATTCCACGTGTTTTACTGCCTCTTTCAATATAAGTAGATATTAAAACACCCAGTATTGAGTTCTTATATGTATTTTGAGACATTCATAAGAGAAAGTTATAAGGTTTATGAAAAGTAAAGTTTTTTACTTTATTGCTGGACATCAAAGAAAATAAAAATTAAAGAATCGTCAATAAAATTAAGTACACTTTGATCTTGATCAGTTAGTGGTGTTTATCACGGGTGAGTTACCTGAATAACTTTAAAATGTTAACTTTCATCTACAAAATAGCGTAAAAACTGTAGGTACGTTTCGGTTTTAACTCATATAACTTCTTTCTTACAGTCTGTTATATTTGCGACCGTTTTCCTGCTTCAGCGAGGGCGACTCATAAACCTTTTTCTGACGTACCCAGTTGATTACGACTATCTGGTTCCCTTCTGCGTAGATGACCCCCTATTGTGCAATTAAGTTCACATCCCTGAGCTAATTTCCGTGTTATCTAACTAATCAAACGTCAGACATCGTGTTTACCCGGCAGGTTGCACTAGATCTATATCGCTGATTAGTTTGCGATTGTCAATCAATTTACACCTGCGTTTTAGGTGGCATGACTGTTTATAGAATTAGTACGTGTTAAAATTGATATGAACAGATTCAGATGAATTGGATTTACCTAAGCAATTAGCTGAAAGCTCAAATTAATTACCTATTATCACAAAATAAATTAACGAGTAGGTTGATGCAGCTCAGATCTGATACTATTGGTATTTTTTATGTTATTTTCAGTCACCAAACCAGCCGGTCTAGGATGCGTGGCATGATACAGTCTTATCGATGATTTTAGGTGACCTACGTATGGGCTTATCGTGGGAAATCGATAATAAGCTTATCGCAGCGCTTACTGATCCTAAGCTTAGTGATAGTGGGTCTTTATTTGCTCGTTGTCTTGTTCTCAGAATAGAAAAAATACTTACTGTTTAATTGATAAAATAAGAGTTATTGAATTCCCAAGTAAAGCCTGGTGGTGGTGATGGTGGGGTAGAGACTAGAAAAATTCTACACGGATTAAACAATATGGTGCTAAAGCAGTGGCTTTAATTCGTTTCCATAAGAATAATGGTGATATTCTTCAGAATATTTACACCCATTATTTATAAACCACCACCAACAGAAAACCATACATAACAGAACAAGGAGGTTAAACTTAAACATTGAATATTTATCAAAGACTGTCACTGCTCATGAATAACCACGCTGCCGCGCTGATAGCAACACTGATACCTACGTATTTTACATACTTTAATAAGATTTTCGATGGAGGAAACGCGCACCGACGATCGCCAAACGGTTAGAGTACCTTCTGTACTCGCCACTCTGCCCGGTGAAGCTGGAAAAGCTCCTCAAGATACCAGCGCGCGTCTCTTAAAAAAAAAGAGGAAATTATTAAAAAACCATCTTTACACATCATAAAAATATTTTTTTTTAAGTAATTTCTAATAGATATACTTACAGTCTGCGTCAAATGGTTCGTGAAACTCAAATTGGCCAAAAAGTTCACAACACAACTGTTGGGTATTCGCCGCGTGACTGCGATCACCGGCATATTTATTATTGTGCTTATACCAATAAACCTCAGTGCGCTCTAACCGGCCTTTCACTAAACACGTCCCTATTCGCGTATATAACAGTGGCGACGTCTACCCACAAGCAAAAAAAAAATGGCTCATTTTGGGATTTTGGCCACCTTTGACCATAATTCACAGTGTTGGCAAACATATAAAAATCGGTTGAGTCAATGGTTTATCGCGAATAACATCGGAAGGGCAGAGGATCCTCAGTGTATAAAAAGACGAGCGATCCTTTTGAGTGCACTCAGCGATGGATCATATAAATTGGCAGCAGATTTGGCTTTGCCAAAAGAAGTGCAAGATTTGCCATTTGAAGACATAATTAAGCTTTTCGACGACCACTTCACCCCAAAAACATGCGGATTTAGCGAACGTTTCACTTTTTATGTCGCTACGCAAAAGTTGGGCGAGTCATACACTCAATGGGCGGCACGACTGCGTGGTCTAACAGCTCATTGCGGTTTCCTCAATGTGGAAGAAGCTCTTAGAGATCGCTTTGTGATGGGCATGTTACCGGGGCCGGAACGTGAGAAGCTGTTCGCGCAGGATGTGAAGGCGCTGACACTCTCCAAGGCGCTGGAGCTGGCGGTGAGCGTGCACTGCGCTCGCCAAGGAGCAGCGTCATCGGCGGCGTCGCATGCGCCAAACGACCAGGCGCTATTTAAAATCAGCCAGCAGCAAGATCGCGTAAAAAGTGCAAGTGATAAAAAAATCCAGTGTTCGGTTTGTGGTTACAAAAATCATACGGCATCGGTGTGTAGGTTTGCAAGTTACAAGTGTAAAAAGTGCAACACGAAAGGGCATTTACAGCGAATGTGCAAAAAAGTTAATTACTTGGATAATGCAGTGGTAAACGAGAGCGAGGATGACGACGGTAGGTCAACTTTATATAATATTAGGTCATTTAGTGGGGAGCCAATGGCTGAAATGGTTAATGTTCAGGGCGTGAAAATGAAGTTTCAAATTGACAGTGGGTCGGCAGTCACAGCTATTTCCGATAAAATTTATCAGTTGAAATTTCAAAATGTACCGTTAAAATCAACTAACAAGCGTCTGTTAAGTTACACAGGTGAAAAAATATCTTGTTTAGGTATCATACGCTTAGCATTCACATATAACAACGTAACTAATTCGCTTGATGTTTACGTCGTGAAGCACGGCGGACCGCCGATACTGGGACGCGATTTTATTTCACGTTTCAAACTAGCACTGTTACCTATTAATTTTCTGTCAACGGACGACCTGTTGGAACAATTACAATCACGATATCCATTTGTATTTTCAGATTCTTTAGGCAAATTTAATAAATACAAGGTAACATTACAGTTGACAGAAAACTCAAAGCCCATATTTTTTAAGCCTCGTCCAGTTGCTTTTGCCCTAAAATCCAAGATAGATGCGGAAATTGATCGTTTGATAAGTATAGGTGTCCTAAAACCGGTTCAGCATGCAGCATACGCTTCACCCATAGTCCCTGTGCTCAAACGCAACGGTTCAATTAGGTTATGTGCAGACTATTCAGTTTCAATTAATAAACAGTTGTTAGTGGAGCAGTATCCGTTACCCACCGCTCAGGAACTGTTTTCTCGCTTACACGGCGGGACAGAATTCAGTAAACTTGACCTTACACAAGCGTACTCGCAATTTGTTTTAGACGAAGACTCGCAACAACTCACATGCATTAATACTCATCGCGGGTTGTTCAAATACACTAGGCTTGTGTTCGGTTTAGCTAGCGCGCCAGCTATATTCCAACGCGCGATGGATTGTTTGCTGTCGGGGCTGGACGGCGTTGTATGCATGCTCGATGATATCTTGATCACGGGAATTAATAGAGTTCAGCACCTGGAAAGACTAAATGCAGTGTTGAAGAGACTCCAGGACGCAGGACTAACACTTCAAAAAAGTAAATGTGAACTTTTTAAAGATAAAGTTGAATATTTGGGTTACACTATAGATAAATGTGGCTTACATAAATCTCCACAAAAAGTAAAAGCTATTTTAGAGGCCCCCATTCCCTCTAACATTAATCAACTTCAGTCTTTCTTAGGTCTCGTTAACTACTACCGAAATTTTGTACCTAATGCATCAACAATTTTATGCCCACTTTACAAATTATTACACAAGGGACATAAGTGGGAATGGGGTAAAGAACAGAACGATGCTTTCAATCTAATCAAAAAGTGTCTTTCTTCAGATCATGTTCTAGCTCACTTCAATCCCAAGGCTAAGGTTGTGTTGACAGTGGATGCCTCTCCGCACGGGTTGGGGGCAATATTATCGCAAATAGGGGACGATGAAACGGAACGGCCTGTATCTTTTGCTTCTCGTACTCTGAACTCGGCTGAAAAGAAATACTCGCAAATTCAAAAAGAAGCCACAGCTATAATTTTTGGAGTACGGCGTTTTCATCAATATCTGTACGGCAGATCTGTTCCTTTCGTTCTACGTACAGATCATAAACCACTTTTGTCTATCTTTGGCCCACAACGCGGCATACCCGAGGTATCCGCTAACAGATTACAGCGATACGCAATGTTTTTAAGCGGTTACAACTATACAATAGAATACATAAGTAGCAGTAACAATAGCGCCGACTACTTATCGCGGGCCAGTCTGCCAGAGCTCGCCCAGGCGGCTGCGCGTGCGCGCGCCGAGCGAGAAAACAAACAAACATAAACGTTTTAACAAACGTCAAAAATCTGCCAAACTCCATACAAAAAACACCGGTAGTGATTTACCTACTGTAAAATGTAATTTGTACCTCACTAAAGTAACAATCACGTAAAAAGTGGTTAGTTTTTGTGTTTTCGTTTAGTTATCATATTTTACTTACCAAGTTTTGATTTTTATAAGTTAGTCCTACAGCTAATTTATTAGCGTCATAATGTAGTGCTTACTCAATTTAAAGCTCCCAGTCTACGAATACTTCCGTAATAAGCTCCACAACGCAATTGGATTTACTGCGTGCTATGTGTATGAATATTTAACTGCAGCGATGTCCGAGGCAATTATTTATTCTGTCATCTGAAATGTACGGTATTAATTCGATTAGTACTCCTTTGTGTGTTAATAAATGACAAATATCTGTCAATTGTTTTATTTATTTCATTGGTCGAAGTTGTTGGTAGATTTTTCAGCGTATTTAAAACTTCATCAATAGAAAGATAAAATATGATGATATGATAATAAAATGTACTCTACTTCAATATAATTCTTAGCAGAAATTGATAGTATGTATATCTGTAATGAAAAAAACCACAAAAACGTTTTAAACCAACCGTTCGATAGTTTGGGATAAATCACAAAATTAACTCTATCTCATAAACGAAGCAAAATCGTAGAACATAGGTACATGGGGGTGATTTAGTTACACCTTGATGTAAGGAATCTAAATTTTAGCTTTGAACGTCAACTCCCTGGCAACCCTGTATTACTTTTACCAACTTTGTCATACTAATATTTTTATCATTCTTATCACAAATTTTTTATTCCAATACCCATCATCACCAACCACCAATTCCGCTACCTATACATTTTCGTTCGCAAAAAGGAGCCTACAAAATAACAGAGAGCCGTGGCAACCGCCGGCTGCGCATCAATAATGCACGCGAGCGGACAAATCACTTAGCGGAGTTGCAAACTGCATTGTACTCGTACATTATACCTACCTTTAGCGGGAAAATCAATCATTGTCTGCCATTTACGATACTGTTTTTGATGGCTCAGACTACCTTATGTCACACTTATATCTTGTGGAAGTGTAGAGCGCACAAATCACGGAGCAGGAAAGTGCATTGTACATTATACCTACCTTTGGCGGCAAAATCAATCAATATTGTTTGCCATTTTGACACCATTTTAGATGGGCTGCCTTTCAAACTAAGTCTTCAAAATTAATCACATAAGTATAGTGAGAACTGCAACTACTTTATCCATTATGTACCTACCTTTAGCGGCAAAATCAATCATTGTCTGCCGTTTTTGATACTATTTTTGATATAATTAAATAAGGCAGTCTAGGCTAGACTGCCTTATTTCTTGTGAGAATGTAGAGCAAACAAATAACTTGGCAGGATCTGTAAACTCGCACAACTTTTAAAGTGAATAATATTTTTTTAATTTTTCTACTTCGTGTCGCGGCAAAGAAAAACTCTCGTGCTTTTCGGTGATAGTGAGTAGGTTAATATGGCTTTCAGTCATCCGCTTTGTACTGAAGGATATCGATCTAACTTCGAATTACGAGTTCGAAGTTTCTTCTGATAAATTGAGAAAATGAATAACGTCGCGCGCGCGTTAACACCTTTGCTGCGGCAGTAACTTTCTAATACTTTCCATTCCTTCGGTACAAGGTCAGTAAACCTGGTATTAAAACTTACATTGTGGCGGCACAAGGCTTAAAGACCTTGTAATATTTAAGATATATTAATTTTATTTTTGGCTTCATGTTAATAAATATTGTGAGCGAGACGGCGCTCCCGATGACGTCATTGACGACCGTGCGTCCTATGTTTGTTTTGTTACAGATGGCACGTTACCTGTCACACTACGCGATATGCGCGAACTTACTAGTAAAGACAGAGTACTTTGTAAGGTTGTAAACTATATATTAAACGGTTGGCCACCTAAGGTATCTGATCCAGTGCTAAAGCCATACTATTTATGTAGGACACAACTTTCTTATGAAAATGGATGTATAATGCGGGGACATAAAGTGGTCATTCCAGAGGCATTAAGACACAAAATTCTAGTAGAATTACACAAATCACATCTGGGGGTGGTAAAAAGCAAAGCTGAGGCCCGTGCTAGATTATGGTTCCCGGGTATTGACAATGCAATAGAGAATATGATAAGTAATTGTGAAGTGTGCATTCAACTAAGGCCATTACCCGGTCGAGCGCCGCTAGCAGTGTGGCCGCACCCTAAGCGGCCATTCCATAGAATACACATAGACTTTCTCGGTCCCATTAATAACCTTACGTACCTAATTGTTGTAGACGCTCACAGTAAGTGGGTTGAGGCTTACTATATGAAATGCACTTCTTCTAGTTCGGTAGTAAGTAAATTAATGGAATTCATATCGCGCTTCGGGCTCCCACAGACGCTTGTTAGTGATAATGGTACGGCTTTTACCTCACAGGAATTTAAAGCATTTTGTATTTCTAACGGAATCTCGCATGTGACGTCACCTGCTTACCACCCGGCTAGCAATGGACAGGCGGAAAGTTACGTTAAAGTAATTAAACGTGGCATTAAGTCATGTATTATTGAAAACAATAAAAAAGATTTGAATGCAAAAATATTAAAGTATTTATTCGATTATAGAAATTCAATTCATTCTACAACAGGATTTTCGCCCGCTCAGCTAGTTTTTGGTCGTAAACTTCGTTCACGCTTGGATCTGATTAACCCCTTAACTGCCCCGCCGTCATCCGACGCCCTCGCAAATAATGTTAAAAACAACCAGTGTTTGCAGAGTAAATCATATGGTGGAAAAAATAAACAGTACTTTAGTGAAGGAGACATTGTGCTTTATAAAACATATAATATTAAGTTTCACCCATGGAATAAGGGTATAGTTATAAAAAAAATAGGAAAAGTAACCTATTTAGTTAAGGATTGTATAACGTCATTAACATGTAAAAAACATAAAAATCAGTTAACGCTTTATAGGGGTACAGCCAATAGTAACCAACAACTGCTTGCTAAAGACTGTGTAATAGAATTAGACGATTTCACAAAGTCACAGTCTATGTCACCGAATAGCATTACCGAGCCCATGAACGTCGGGCAGGTTCCAATACCTCAACGCTCACAGGACGAAGAAGAAGAGGAGTTCTATGAGGCAGTTGAACTAGAAGGAGAGAGTGGGGCAGGTTTGGAATCAGTCTCGCAATCTTCGGAGCCCCCGTTACCAAATGCACGTAGCAGAGCAGCCGGAAGGTTGTTACGGCCCGTACCCCAAGTAGATTATAAACAATTCTTTTGCTTAGATGTTTAATTCTTTTATTGATATGTTCTTAAGCTATTGAGGGAGGAACTGTTGGGTATTCGCCGCGTGACTGCGATCACCGGCATATTTATTATTGTGCTTATACCAATAAACCTCAGTGCGCTCTAACCGGCCTTTCACTAAACACGTCCCTATTCGCGTATATAACAACAACCAAAGACGTGTCTTTTTGAACACTTTCGGTGTAACAAACTATTTGACTTAGGCTGAGTTGCACCACTAACTTTAACAGTAACTATTGCGATAACCGGTGTATTTTGTATGGAGTTTGACAGACTTTTGACGTTTGTCAAAGTTAAAATAAGATGGTGCAACTCAGCCTTAGACTGTACAATACAATATTATTTTCTCTTGTTTCAATAAAATTATGGCCATCAGAGTTGAGCATAGATATTTGATTAATCATAAGGCCTTATTGTCTATAAGACTGGGATCATATTTCATATAGAGGTCAGTGCGTCCTAAAAGACAAGCTAATTTGGCTTACCCTCATTCTGTCAAAAGTATATAACAAAAATGAAGGCTGAATTGTCTGGAGCACTCACAAACCCTAAGTATGACAATTTATGAGCCTTTCAATTCACGCTTAGATCTAGTCGGAGAATGAAAATGGAAAAATGCTTTCATGGTAAGTATACCAATTGTGCTCTAGCAAGACAAACGATTTATTGTGTTTTGTTAAGTTTTTTTATCCACACCGAGGAAGTTCTTGGCCTGCATCTCTCGTGGTTACATGATACAGCTGATTACTGGTAAGTATGTACCTACAAGTTTGTGTCAAGTAGTGAATAGACGCCATATTGTTTTTTTTGTTAAGAATGGGATGAGAACAATAAGGGTAGTAGGATTATCAAAATCTTCTTTAGTTTCTGTACTGTTTAATTACTGAGGAAGTACCTACTTAACACTTTCCTGACAAACCATAAAACCGAATAGTGTTTTATAGTAAATGAAATTTAAATATTTATTTCACTAATTAATAAAAGCATTTCGTCAAAATAGCTACTTAGGACGAAAAGGCTTCATCAAAGGTCGTCTCCAAAATAATTAGGTTAAGAAAAATGTTTTCTTGAATTAAGGTCCAATGTTCCTCATTAGGCGCTAGACAGTGTTCTGGGTGCGATGTCAAATAGATAATCAAAGTTAAAGAGAAGGCAACATAATGTAATTACACCGAATACCGGCTCAACAAATTCGAGGTCGAAACGCGCTACGAATTTTGAGATCAATTGTCAAAGATATCTTGTTTAAAGCACCGCGAGTTCCAAGATAGCACGCGGCCTCACCTTTTGATTTGCTCCCATTTTTGAATGATCAAACGAACTTACCAAGTGAAGTTNGTGCGGTACCAGGTGCGCAGGGTACAAGGTGCTTCGACCTGGTTTCGCATTGTGAAGACATTTTATTACTTCCGTGCGGTACCAGGTCTAAAAACCTGGTATTAAGGTAGGTACATCATTGGATTCTATTTTAAGAATACATCATAGATATATATTCATCACTTTCCTACACAAGACCCAATTGAAGTTATGCCTTTCGCACGACAAGGAAGACTATAATTTTCTTAGCCGCACGGTAAGCGAGACGTACACAAGGTCTATAGACCTGGTTTCGCACTCAACGTGTTAATGTCGCGTTTGAGACCCGTTTTTCTCAATTACAGATGTCAAAAATATCGCTTATTATTCTATCTACAAATCATCGTCGTGAGACTGTAAACTATTCCCACTGGGAATCTAACCCGGGGCCACTGAAGCAGGTGGTCTTACCACTAGACAGAGGCGGTATATTACTTATCAACTATTTCTGCTGTATCATATAAGATATCATACTAAGTATTCCCTAAGGTTTTCCACAATGAACGGTCCTGCGCTGCCCGCATCCAAGTTCTTCCCGCGACCCCTTTGTCCAGCCGTGGACGTCATTTGGCTGAGACGAACGAACGAACGAACTTAAGTATGCTCCCATGTCGACTTATTACAAACACAGCCTCAACCAAATAAATCCCACTGCACACTAAACATGACATAAAGATGACCTAATGCGGTATAAGATTCCGCGCAGGCAATCCACATTCGCGCGTGTTCGCCGAGCAATATGCCGCGATGGCCGACGGCTCATTTAATCACGCGAAGGAATTTGTTCGGGAGAAGACCGTTATGGGGAAGAAAGTATGGAAGAGACTTTTTTGTAAGCAGTAATCTTTCCTGTAAGATATACAGGGTGTTTGGCGCATCGTGTGCCAAAATGATTTGGCAGATAAAATGGGTCATTTCCTATATTTTCAGCCCCCATAACACGTTCCATGCCAAGCGGCTACTTTTATATTAATTTTTTTAGTAATTTCACCAAAATACCCAAATCGCATCATTTAATTTAGATTAAAAAAAAAACTACTAGGCTAAGCCTCAAAGTAAATATTTTGTTTTGACGTGCATTGATGTAGAGTTGCATCAAATCTAAATTTACTGGCAAATATCATCTAGTTTTTTTTTAATTCAGCTTTGAAGTTTTCCGAAAAGTTAAAAATGGACTGATCATATAAGTTTACATGGCTATAAAAAAATAAATAAAAGAGATAGCGATCTTCGGATTTTATCAAAACTTCTCTAGTCTGTCCCCATTCAAACGGTATACTAATCTTGTTTAAATAATAACAACAACTTCACAAATTCCTTAAATTAGTGCATTGACTCTACTCGGACTGATTTGCGAAATTTGTGTTTAAAGCCCCTTTTTGTGTGAATAACACGTTAAACACCTAACAGGTAAAAAATATTTATCTTTTGCAATGTTAAAACCTTTTCCCTATCGTTTTTCAATGTGGATTTTTTGAAATTAAAAACGAAAATAATTATTTTGATCGTTTATTAATTATTACAAATTTTGTTAAAAATGACCGCCTCAGCAACGTATACACTCACGACATCTTTTTCTAATTTTGACTGTTGTCGTATGCAGCCACATTTCTCTTTTTATTACTACAAAGGCGTTTTCTACTCGTGGATTAGAAGAGATGGCCCTATACAGTGGTCTGCACGTTCCCCAGACCTAATTCCGTTAGATTTTTACGTCTGGGGACGAGTTAAAGAACAGGTGTACGTAACGGATTCAAACAATAAAAGAACTACAACAACGAATAAAAAACGCCTTTGTAGTAATAAAAAGAGAAATGTGGCTGCATACATACGACAACCGTCGAAATTAGAAGAAGATGTCGTGAGTGTATACGTTGCCGAGGCGGACATTTTGAACTAAATTTGTAATAATTAATAAACGATCAAAATTATTATTTTCGTCCTTAAATTCAAGAAATCCACATTAAAAAACGATAGGGAAAAGGTTTTTACATTGCATAAGATAAATAATTTTTACCTGTTAGGTGTTTAACGTGCTATTCACACAAAAAGGGGTTATAAACACAAATTTCGCAAATCAGTCCGAGTAGAGTCAATGCACTAATTTAAGGAATTTGTGAAGTTGTTGTTATTATTTAAACAAGATTAGTATACCATTTGAATGGGGATAGACTCTAGTCTATCCCCATTGAAGTTTTGATAAAATCCGAAGATCGCTATCTCTTTTATTTATTTTTTTATAGCCATGTAAACTTAAATGTTCAGTCCATTTTTAACTTTTCGGAAAACTTCAAAGTTGAATTAAAAAAAACCTAGATGATATTTGCCAGTAAATTTAGATTTGATGCAACCCTATATCAATGCACGTCAAAACAAAATATTTACTTTGAAGCTACGCTTAGTAGTTTTTTTATGGCGCGCGCGATGGACGAAGAAGGGAAAAGGAAAATAAGAGCAATATTTAAGTCTATTACGTTGATGATTACCCACATATCTATTGGGTTGGAATACGGGCATCGTATTAACTTTATGCTGGTATGTATTTTTATGCAGAAAAAAGCATGACGTATTTGACCGCAAACCTGATGTTAAGTGAGATGCATTCTGGGATGGTAAATATGTATTTACATGTAAGTGTCCCTCACCTTGAAGATTTATCAAAGAGTCCATTTCCATAGCACCCGCTCAAGAAGCTGATAAAAGGCGCACGCTTATTGGACGAGTCAATAATGTACCTCGTGGGACGGACGCCCGGACACGTCGCGAGCTGCATACATATATGTTGGCCGGACAGCTGCCGACGGTCACCGGACACTGAAAACGTGTAAAAAGTGAAGATCAAATTGGTACAGAGTGGACAGCTTAGAGACAGTCAAAATATCAAAGAGAAAACTACGTCAAAATATATCTCTCATTTGCTCAAAATCCTTACTTCCGTACCTACTATCAGTCCGTAATTTCTGTATAAAAGTAATGTCTTTCTGTATTGTTACATTTTCAGCAGAACTGATAAAATTGTGCTTAGAGATATTTGAAGATAGGATAATTTTTATTTCGGTTTTTGAACCGGAAATACGTACATGATAAAGCTAGACTGAAATAATTTTTATGACGCTATTCCTGTAATAGTATGAAACATTTTCTTTAGTTTTAAACCACTGCAATCAGTATTAAAAAGTCACGTGCTTTTGGCATAGCCCGCTAATTAATAAACTAAATAAAAGGTAAATATATTTTATCGTAACTCTACTTTTGACCTAGTACCGATTTTTTTTAATGCCTAACAAGGCAGTTATTTGACCTCAATCGCACCTGATGTTAAGTGGGATGCAGTCTAGGATGCCCTGTAAGTGCCTATTCACTCTCGCCTTGAAAAGGCCCGGATTATAGTCTTCGGGAAAGACAGCAGCAGGCAGCGAATTCCATTGCCGACAAACAGGCGATAGTTCGACGCGTTTCCAAAAGTTCGGCGTTTATCTCTCCCGGTGTACGTTTTTATCACCCGACAACATATCCTCCATAAACCCTGTCAGCAATAATGTTGGCTTGTACTACGGAGATATTCGTGTTTTGTCCAGCGATGGCCTCTTGGCTTGGCTCTCGCGTCATAAGGAATGTCCCAAATTGCTTTTTTTATTCATAACTCCTGAAGGCAAGGCTAAAAACTTTGGAGGGATAATAATGTCAATTTGTTATCTTGTTAGCCTTATTAAATGGTTTATTACGGGACTATACCCACCTCTCCTTCCC